AAAAAGAAAAAAAAGAAAAAAAAAAAAAAAAAAAAAAAAAAAAAAAAAAAAAGGTTCAAAAGCCTTTCGATGAAGACGGCAGTTGCTGACCTCAATTCGGGCTTTATAGGCTAAATATCCAGACACACACACACACACACACACACACACACACACACACACACACACACACACACACACAATTATACACAAACGAAGAAACAAACTGTCGAAACATAAACACAACAAACTCTCATTACAAATTGCTAATAAGTGCACAAGAGACGAAGAAGAATAAGACGATGATGATAATCCAAAGATGTGTATGCATATGTGCATATATATTGATGATCGGACTACTCGACTCCACGGAGGGGCGGCCGCCGCCCCCTCGCCGGATTCTGTTGGATACCGATGTCGACACCGATGATTTATTTGCACTCCTATACATTTTGAAGCTCAATAGATCGGAATTTGATTTGCAGGTAAGCACCCTCGATTTCGTTTGTTATTTTTTTGGCTATAGGTTTCTTCTTCTTAGCTTAGTGCTTCGATGCTTTTACATGGCGCGCACTTTCAAGCAAAAATCACACCGTTTATTGTTAATTTGTTTAAGTTGTTAGGTGAATCATTTGATATTTATATCTTCAATACGCACGTAGATAAAAGCCTTGAGATAAACATATACTATATATATAAGCAGTTAGGTGAATCATTTGATATTTATATCTTCAAGTACGCGTAGATAAAAGCCTTGAGATAAACATAATATATATATATATATATATATTATTCATCACTTTTTCTATAGAGTATATGCTTATGTGACTGTATACAGAAATCTTTTAGATTCTTTAGTGTTCATTTTTTATGTTAAGTGGTGTGTCTGATATTGAATCTTTCCTTGTAATCTACAAGGCTAACATTTTGAGTCAAATTCACTATAATAAATTTCAACTTTGGTCGGCATATTTCAAAGTTTTAATGCAATTATACCCCTCCAGTAATGCCGATCTGCTAAAAAAGCCCCAATAAAATAAAATTTAGCAAAAAACCCCTAATAAATATTTTAGACAACTCACTCGATCCTTTTGCCATTTACGAATTGACCGATCGTAAAAAGACAAAAGTACCCCAGGAGGGTTTCTTGCAACAACAAAAGCCCCAGCCTTTAAACAAATAATTTTCAAAATTAAGAAAAACCTCAGCCCTTAAAAAAATATTTTCAAAATTAAGGGGCTAAGTTGCAATTTTACAAAACTTAATAAAACTCCTAAAATCCTACCCCTGCTTCCAGCCGCGAAACCACCAACCACCACCACCGCCGCCCTTCTTTTCTCTTTCGGCTACAAAATCACGGACTACATTCGCCGCCCGCCGGAATCGTACCTAGTCTTCTTCTTCTAAACAATCCGCCGCCACCATCTCCGTCATTATTTTGTGTTCTGCCGCTGAATGAGCAGCCGCCTCCGAAAGAGCTTCTTCTTCTTCCAAAGAGAGAGAAAAAAAGTGTCTCTTGAGTGGAAATGATGGTGTAGGCTTGAGGGGCAATTCTGTCATTTCACAAGCAAAAATGAAGTAAAAAGTATATTTTTTTTGTGCTAGTATTTTATTTCATATTTGGTCGTGCGAAGATAAAATCCTAGCTCCGCCACTATAACTATATCGATGCAGGCGGTTACGATAAACACGAACGCGTGGACCAATGCGGGCCATGCAGTGAATCAAATTTACGACCTACTTTACATGATGGGGCGAGACGATATAGCCGTTGGAGTCGGGGGCGAAGGCGGAATACTCGAAGATGGCACTATATTGCCCAATGTTGGTGGTTATCACCCCATTATCCAACAGGTTTCGCTTTTTTTATTTTTTTTCTTGTCCGATTTTTGAATTATTTAAATAATTTTGATCTTATAATTCTGTTTTCGGGCTCGTATACATCGATCAGGGCATTGGTACATCCGGATATTGCAGATATAGACAAGCTATTCCTGTAGGTCAAGGAGGAATTTTAGACATTGATTCAAATTTTGGTTTCAGAAAAAGCTTTCTTCCACAGGTACACACATATATATATATAAATGGAAAAAATTCAATTTTCACCCCTCAAGTTTGTATTAATTTCACATTTGGTCTCTTATGTTCATAAAAAAACACATTTAGTCCCTCGTGTTTCAAAAATTCAACATTTTTAACCCTTTCTGTTGATTTTCCGTTAGTACAAACGGAATTAAGCTTGTGCCCTTCGCTGCCTTAGCTGACGGACTAACGGTAAATATGGGGGACCAAATGTGAAATCGATGCAAACTTAAGGGATGAAAACTGTATTTTTCCCATATATATATATAAAAGAAAAGTGACAAAATGCACTTTGCCCCTTATAAAATTCCAAGATTCGCACTCCCCCCCTCATAATTTTAAAATGTTATTTTTGTTGCATGTTGCCTTGATAGCCAAATTCCGACGGGTTACTCATCGAATCGAGTGTTTTTCTTACAAGCTGCCGCTTTAAAATGTTATTTTGTTGCAAATTACCAACTGAAAATTCACTTTTCGGGCAAAGTGCAACAAAAAAAGGGGTTATCTAATTTTTTCAATTTCTAGGGGGAGAGTGCATTAAATCCAGAAAAACTATATTTTATATAGATATCTGTTATTTTTCGAATGATGCAAACGATTCTTGAAAAAAACAGGGGAAGAGGAGATATTCGCCGATGCGTCAGCCGACAGCTCAGCAAGTGATGATAGAAAAAATATCCCGTGGTGCAATAACCGTGTTTCTAATTGGTGCTCATACAAATTTAGGTGTATTTATAATGAGTAATCCACATTTGAAGAAGAATATTGACCATATATACATTATGGGCGGTGGAGTGAAGTCGAAAAACCCGACCGGTTGTTGCCCAAAGAACTCGAGCTCGTCGTGTAGGCCCCGTCAGTGCGGCGATAGGGGGAATATATATACCGACTACACTTCTAATCCTTATGCCGAGTTCAACATCTTTGGAGATCCTTTTGCTGCATATAAGGTATGATAAATTTAGGAATTGGTGATCAAATTTGATGGATCGGATCAAAATTAGCATTTTAAATTTTTTTGGGGGGAAAAACCGAAAATTCTAAAATTTTGAAATGGAAGAATTATTAATCCGGAATTGGAATTTTCGGAATCCGCAGAATTCGGAAGTTTTTTATTTGGACTTCCACCTCTAATATAAAGCACGTAATAAAATATAGGGTTTGTTGCGTTCGACACCCCTATATTTTCTCTAATTGTTATAAAAACCCATGTTATTTTATTGGCAAAGCTCCCCTATGATTCATTTTTTTTAGCAAACTACACCCTAAAAATTCATTTTTAGGGGGCTGTGTGCTAAAAAATGCATTCCGAGGGGGCTTTTTGCTAAAATTTATGGGAAGTTTTTTGGCAATTCGATATAACAGGGTGTTACTAAATGCAATAAGCTTTAGTACAAAAAATGATACTAACATAATAATAGTAATTTTCGAGATAAACAAAATTGGTTTTTTTTTTTGGAATTAATTTTCGAAAAGTAAAATCAGATCAAAACTAGAAATTTCAATCCCAAAATTCCTAAAATTGCGGAGTATCGGAAATCGAAATTTAAAAATTCCAATTTCGACCCTTGGCTACTACATAATAACATTTCAAGAAAGCATGGCCCTGTGTTAGTGACTAGTATAACTTTTTGATATGTTAACTGCAACAGGTGATTCATTCTGGAATCCCGGTTACACTCGTTCCACTCGATGCCACAAACACCATTCCGATATCGAGCAATTTTTTCCAACAACTCGAAAAAAATCAGAACACGTACGAGGCACAATACTGCTTCAAGTCCTTGAAAATGGCTCGCGATACTTGGTTCGACGAAAACTTTTTCACGGTAAATATAACAATAATAAATAATAAAAAAAAAGATAGTAAATTATATATGTGATAGTGTATGCATCACTCGATTCGCAGAGTTACTTTATGTGGGATTCGTTTTTATCCGGAGTGGCTACTTCGATAATGCTGAAGCCAAACAACGAAAACGGAGATAACGAATTTGCGGAGATGAAGTATATGAATATAACGGTGATCACTTCGAACGAGCCTTATGGATTATCTGACGGATCGAATCCATTATTTTACGGATTAAAAAAGCCGAAATTCGGATTAGATAGAAACGGTGTTCATAGCGGACATGTTCAGACAGGTCTTCGAGATCCGTTTTGCGTTGTCGAGAATGGCAAGGGCAGGTGCAAGGTTATTTCTTAAGCTGCTGTTTTTGTTGTTTTTAAAAAAAAAAAAAAAGAAACATTAATCAGAGAATATTTCCTATATATAATTAACTTAAAAATGAAATAAAATCAGGATGGATATACGGAACAAGTTTCCGGTCGAGGTGGAGTTCGAGTTCTCGTTGCTGTACGAGCAAAGACTAACCGCGATAAAAACAGTTCGTTGAACAGAGAATATTTCAGAAGCTTCCTAAATGTGATATGATCCATCTCTCTCTCTCTCTCTCTCTCTCTCTCTCTCTATATGTGGAAACTAACTGTGATTAGCAGGTTTTGAACAGCAAACACCAAACAGGAAAGTTCAATTTCACTACACAGTTTCCTCATTACAGAGAAATCTTGTACAAACCGGATTTTAACGGAATAAAGCTCGGTAACAACGTCATTTTCGACATGGATATGAGCGCCGGAGATTTCTTAGCCCTCTTTTACCTCCTCAAATTACCCGTCGAACAAATTAATCTCAAGGTGAATTTTTCAAAAACATTTTTTTTAGCAAACTTACGATGAAAATCAGTGGCTGAGTCAGCATAAGGCTATCGGGGGGCCACGGCCCCCACGACTTTTTTTGTTTAGCAAAAAGAACTTATGTTATTATTTTTTTTTCAAAAAAGGCAATATTAGTAACTCCAAATGGATGGGCAAATGCGGCAACGATTGATGTCGTCTATGATCTACTTCATATGATGGGGCGAGATGATATACCCGTCGGATTAGGTGACGTTTTTGCCCTCAACCAATCGGATCCCGTTTTTCCAGCTGTCGGTGACTGCATGTACAAGAAAGCTATCCCGCATGGCAGTGGCGGATTTATCGACTCGGATACACTTTACGGGCTGGCCCGCGATTTGCCTCGAAGTCCTCGAAGGTAATTTTAGCACCCCTGCATCTTTCCTAATTGTTAGAAAACTCCCCAAATATTATTTTATTGGCAAAAACCCCCCTATAATTTCCTTTTTTTTTAATGCAAACTACCCCTAAAAACTTACTATTTATTCTAGTTTCATCTGTCAAATATAATGCCTTTTTTTTTTTTTTTTTAAATAATCTGGTATAGGTATACAGCAGAAAATTCAGTTAAATTCGGAGCTCCAAGAAACACTTCTAACCCTGAGCTTAGACAGCCACTAGCTCTTGAAATTTGGCAATCGGTTACAAAATCACTCGAATCGGGATCCAAAATTACGATTTTGACAAACGGGCCTTTGACTAATGTTGCACAAATTATTCTTTCCGATAAAAATATAAGTTCTCTAATTCAGGTAAGCTAAAAAACAATATCTATATATATGGCATTAATGTGTTTCTTGATGGGATTTTTTTTTCCTTTTTTTTTAAGGATATTTTCGTAGTCGGGGGACATATCACGAGCAACAACGTAACGAGTAAAGGAAACGTGATGAACATCGATTCGAACCAATATGCGGAGCTGAATATATTTCTTGATCCTTTGGCAGCAAAGATAGTTTTTACTTCAAGATTCAACATCACTCTAATCCCACTCAACGTTCAACGTAGAGTGAGCCGATTCCGGAAAGTTCTAGAAACTCTCCGCCTCGCAAAGAAGACTCCGGAAGCTCTATTCGCCACTCGTTTGCTCTCAAGATTGCATCGCTTAAAGACCACTCATCCTAGATATCGACACATGGTACACAAAGAGTTGACGAAAAAAATAAGGTTACTACGTTCGTATTTCGAATTTATAGATTTGATCTCGATATTTTATTTAAATGCAGGATATATTTTTAGGGGAGATTTTAGGGGCAGTGGTCCTAGGTGGCAACACTTCGTTCTTGAAGACGAGCTATGAAGTAAGAAACGTTGAAGTGGTGGTTAATGGCGCGGAATCGGAAAATGGAGAGACGAATATCGACGAAAATAAAGGGAGGTTAGTGAAAGTATTGCAAGATTTGGATTGTTTGGCTTATTATCATAGTTTTGCTAAGCAACTTGGTTATGAGAAACAATCTGCTGTAATTCGAAGCTTTGATGAACAAAGAAGATTATGGAGTAGTGCCCCATAGTTTTTTTTTTTTTTTTTTTTTTTGTATAATTCTTACTATTTTTTTTTTTAATTTTAATTGTTTGTGATCTGTAAAAAAAAGGAAATTAGGAAAAGTTTTTTTATTTATTTTTATTTTCTAAGTTGTAATTGCGTTTGAGAATTCAGAAAATTCAAGAAGCTGGCGACTCGGCCCGTGGGCCTCAAATCGGGCTGATTTAGTATGAATGTTGATCAAATATTTCATGCTGTGACAGTACATGCCATTTTGAATATTTAAAGTTCTCGACGAAATACGAAAATTTTCATTAAACGACACAACGGTACAGCTACGAAAGATGGAAAACAACTAAGGTAATAGATAATCCGATAATCGGAAACTGCATTTTCCATGATCAGAAGATACGATTTACGAGAACTCATTCAACATGGGAATCGCTCCACCAGCTGCCACAATCTGCTGCTCCAACTGAAATGTAACGCAAAAAATACGATTTTAAAATTCTGTAATTACGATTTTTTTTGGTAAACTACAATCACCCCTGAGGTATGGTCAAATTACAAAAAAACCCCTCATGTTTGGATAATTACATCTACCCCTTCAACTATGAATCTTCTTACACCTGCACCCTTATGATGTCAAATTCAACATAGTATTCTAGATCCCGTGGAATGTGCTCAACTTTGTACTCGTTTTGTGCAAAAATACAGTAACTGATGCACTACAATTTGATATATACAAGCCAAAAAACACATCTTATGATCACATTACTTCAAAATGTGGAGCTCGAATGGGATAAAACGGGTAGAAACTTGAGAATATACCATATAACCTAGAAGATTCCACTACATTTGAAACCGCAAGGGTGGACATGTAAGAAGATTAATGGTTGAGGGGTGATTGTAATTACCCAAACAAGAGGGGGTTTTTTTCGTAATTTGACAATACCTCAGGGTGGTTATAATTTAAACTTTTTTTCTTTAAATTGTTAAAGTAGTTAGACAATTACCCTTATGAGTGCCTCAAGCTTCTCCTTGACTAGCAAGTACTCTTGCTTAACTTGCTGCAAGCATCTCCGGCACCTACATCCCGGAAAAAAAAAAAAAAAAAAAAAAAAAACACGAAAAACGTCGACGTTTCAAAACAAGAACAACGCAATATCCGGAGAAAATACGAAAAAAAAAAAAAAAAAAAAAAAAATCTTACGCATCGGCGTTTTGCTCTTCGCAGAAGTTGCGGAAAGCAATGCAAGCATTTCTGACCCTTTGAGCCCCAATGCTGTATGTTACACCATATATAAAAAAATTAGAATCAAGAAAACAATCATATATATATTAATCATTTAGTTAAAAGATATATTTTCAGGGTTGATTTGCTTTTTTTTCTTTTTTTTTTTTTATAAAAAAAAAAACTTAAAAGGGTTTTTTTTTTTTTTTTTTTTTTTAACCTGGAGCTGCTACCTTTCAGTTGGGGAACATTAGCATCTATCTTCTTATAATCCACATTCTGCTGATTCCTGCAAGTACTATAATTCAGAGAGAGAGAGAGAGAGAGAGAGAGAGAGAGAGAGAGAGAGAGAGAGATCCTGACAAAGTAATGGAGAGATCATTGAGAATTCTCTGAGAATCCTCAAAGAAGAGGGAGACAACTTCAACAACAAAATCAGGGTTGCTCTCATCTTGCAGCATCTGAAGCTGTCCAAACTGACCATCCAAGAATCCCTTCCATTCATTCATTCAAATAAAAAAAAAATCATAAATTAAATCCAATCAAACAAACGAAAACTACACAAATTTAATATATATATATATAAAAAAAATGTTACCTCACGAAATAAAGAAGTAGTATATTCAAGAAAACTCCGCTGCAACTGATCCACCTCCATTCCTTACTGTCAGAAATATTAATGAAAGATGAATAATTGTTTAATTAGTTGATGAGGAATAACAAATTTATTTGTACAGCCAAAGGATAATAATTGGATATAAATGCTTGATGATATATAGCAGACAAGACTACTGCTGAACAAGAAGAGAGAGAAACTAGAGAGAGAAACAAGAGAGAGAGAGAGAGAGAAGCTAATAATAGTAATAATAATAATAAGGATCCAAAAATTTTGCCTGGTTTAGGGAGATATGTAGTACAAATCTGGACACTAGTCTTTCCCTTTTTAACTCCTTGTCTGGATTTTTGCTTTATTTATTTACAGCCCCCCTACTTAACTAATTTTTGCAAATCACTCTTGATCCTCTCAAAATCTCCATATACAACCCTCCTAGCTGCATCTTTTTTGCCACCCGCACTTATTTTTATTTGGATAAATTACGAGCCACATCCTGAGGTAATATCAAATTACGCAAAACTCTATCATGTTTGGGTAATTACAACCACCTCCCTCAACTATGAATTTTCTTGCACGTCCATCCTTGCGGGGTCTAATTTGATGGAATCTTATTGATTATGTGGAGTATTCTCCAGTTTGTATCCGTTTTACCACATTCAAGCTCCACATTTTGAAACAATATGATGATAATTAGATATGTGTGTCTTTTTGTTTGTAAATATCAGATAATGGTCCATCAGAAACTGCATTTTTGCTCAAAACGTATATAAAATATAAGATTCTATATAAGAAAATTAATATCTGAAGGGGGTGATTGTAATTATTGAAATAAGAGGGATTTTTTTCAAAATTTTATTTTCCCTCATAAAGAAGCCGTAATTGACTCTATTATTATTCTCACTTTTACATATTCTGTACATAATGTCACTTCCAATTATATATCTTTTCTCCCTTTTATTCTTTTCTTTTTTCATATTTTAACGTTACATAATATGTACGTGTCACCTCATGTATTGTCCTAAAACACACATACATATTTATAGAAAGCCCCCACAAAGAACCACTTATCTAATTGTTTTTTTTTGGGGTAAATTTTCATTCTTGTGCAATAGTGTGATAATATAATAAAACTAATTCTTGATATATATATATGATCACTTTTAATATCGTACACAATAAATCTAACATATAGTCAACCATACATTGAACATGTATAAGTTGATTAGGGTGCTAATTAATCTCCTTAATTATATATTCTCTTCTCTCTTTTCAAGACCACATTATATAGTTTTTTAATTATTATTTTTTTAAATGCTTTAATTAAAATTTATTCTTTCATTTTATTCCACCATTAAGGCATTGACTAAAAAAGTGTGAGTTCAATTATTGAAGTATATTAACAAGAAAGGGATATTATATTGATGTGCATGTACTAGATGCCTATTCTTGTGTATTGCAGCATCTCTTTGTCCCCCTTTTTAAATTAAATTGACAAAATTTGACAATTTAAAAGTGAAAAAGGAATATAAATAAAGAATAAAGAAAACACAATCCCTTAATTTAGTTTATCTTGTTTTATGCATCCAATATAATGAGTTGTAAGATCAATGGCATTCATCACTAATTATTAAAAATCTTGAAATCCGAAACTTAAACGTGCGCTATATATCTCGTGAATAGTATCAGAAGTTGTTGATTTATATGCCTATAGAAGTCAGAAATCTTATTTAATTGTAACAGTTTATTTGTTAGGATGGTGAGATCAAATAAATAATCTTAATAATAATAATAAAATGGAATGAGCCTGGGGAATAAAGAGAAGCCCGAGACGAACGAAAACTCGTCCAAGAAAGAGCCCAACTGCATTACGAGACATGCAAAAGAGGAGTGTCGGGAAAGGTTTTCACGGCGCGTCAGCACTACAATAATATAATTAGTTCATATTCATATCATTATCTAATAAACTATATAATATACCATAACTTTGCAAGTTCTTGACACGTTAACCTAGCCAAGACCACAAAATCAGATGCAAGGGGGGGTTGTTTGTTCTTGCTTATGTCTGTGGTCGGTGAATAATATTCCATCTTTTTTTTTTTTCAGACAGGCCAATAATAATAATAATTGAAAAAAAATTAAAATATATATGATCTGGCAGACAGTAATAGAAAAAATATTGAAGAAAAGAAGAAGAACATGAAGTACAGTTGTGAACTAGTTGTGGTTAAGCCCTTAGAATAATGGGTTTAATGATGCCATGTGATTGTAATGCTGGCTAATCCTTTGTTTAAGCACTACTTAAGTACTGAATAATCGCATTGATTAATGATTATAATAATGGTAGTAAATTAGTAATAATATAGTATGTGCGAAATTTACGGTTTGCACCCCTCAAGTTTGCTCTGATTTCACATTTGGTACCACATATTCACAAAAAAACACATTTGGTCCCTCGTGTTTTAATAATTTAACAGTTTTTGTCATTTCCGTCAATTGACCGATAGTCCGTCAATTAAAGTAGTGATGGGCAGACACTTGATTTCATTAGTTTTAACGGAAAATTGATAGAATGGATTAAAATGTTGGATTTTTGAAACATAGAGGACTAAATGTGAAATCAGTTAAATTTGAGGGATAAAAATTATATTTTTCCCTATAGTAAATGGTTGAATTTTAAATTTACTTGTAGAGTTACTAATTGGGAAATTTACAGTTTTTATCCCTTAAGTTTATAACAATTTCACATTTGATCCCCATGTTCAGAAAACACATGTGGTCCCTCATGTTTCGATAATTTGACACTTTTGGTCATTTCCGTCAATTTAACGTTAGTCCATCAGTTATGGTAGTGATGGGCCCACGTTGATTCCGTTAGTTTTAATGATAAATTGATGAAAATAGTTAAAAGTGTTGAATTTTTTAAACATGGGGGACCAAATATATTTTTTTGTGAAAAATGAGGGACCAAATGTTAAATTGATGTAAACTTAAGGGGTGAAAACTGTAATTTTTTCTGTTACTAATTCTTTAAAGAAACAGTTTATTAAAACTAAAATCATATTTGATACAAATTCCTATCAATCTATAATTTTCTGTCAAATGAACTAATGAGTCCAATTTCATTGTGATGTAACGTATTAATAGAGGACCACGTCCTCTATCCCATATGTACATTATTTACGACATGACCCCAATGGAAGAATCTCTTTCTTATACTCCAATCGCATTTAAACACACACACACACACACACACACACACACACAGTTCTATCAAATCATAGTGACCAATTATTGACAAGAAGAAAATATGTCCCTACACCTCCTTTCTAAATCACCACCATAACTAGCTCTGTCTTATTGGTATCTGCGTGTTTGAACACGTGTTTTTTTTGTGTGTGTGTGTGTGTGTGTGTGTGTGAGAGAGAGAGAGAGAGAGAGAGAGAGAAATGGTTTTGTCAAAGAAAAAGGATACATTAGACACCAATAATTTACCAGGATTACAAAATTTTGTAAGTAAGAACAATAATACAACAACAAAATCACAATGTGGAAAAATAAAAATAAAAAAATTATCCAAGAGAAACTAATGATTCAACAAAAGTGTAATAAGTGTTTCAACATACCTTGCAACTCTTTCTGCAGTAACCTGGAAGATCCGAAGAACCAATCATATACTCCGGATTCTTCGTGCATTCTCCGAGCGAAGCCCATCTTTCGCAATTGTGTTCTTCGATATCCGAGCAACTTTCACCACCGCCTCCTCCAATAACTTTATCGAATGAATCCACGTGGATCCACTTTGTAGCGGACCATTTTTCACCTTCATCCACGGGGCAACCCGCGTGCAAGCTCAATGTATCCGGGACTGCGTCTGGATGAAGACTGTAGAATAGAAGTGCGTCTCCTTTTCGTGGCTTCACTGAGAAATGTACGAAAAAAGAACAAAAGCTTAGGCTCTGTTTGGATTAATGAAAATGTGACCACAAAAATAGATTTTTTCGTTTGGTTAGTAGTAAAACGATATGGGAAAAAAGGTGAAAATATTTTGTGACGACACGTAAAACGCCAACAGGTTTTCATGCTCCGCCCTAAAAAACACCTAATTATCGGAGTAGTTCACCTCCATGGCTGAACCTCAACAAACACGTCTGCTCGGGTAAAGAAAATGATCTTCCACAAAACGAATTTCATCACCATTCCCCCTAAAGAACCAACATACTAGAGATTTTCAAAATATTTATTTTCATTTGATTATGGATTTAAATTTTCTTTATTTCAAAATCCATGAACCAAACATAGCCTTAGTATTTTACACGGAGATTTGTTATTTTGCAATTATTTAGCATTATCGACCCCCGAAAAAAAAATTAAAATTATTACGATTTTGAGTTATCGTGTCTCACCTGCAGGACCTTGTTTTCCACACTCCGACAAATCTTTCTCTGCTGAAACAGACTTACGACGAGACGACTCCTGCAAGAAAGAGCCTAATTCAAAAGCATTCATCATGCTGACAGGCCTTTCAACATTAAAAAAAAATTCGAATTCGGAAATCGACAATCAAAGAATATGCATGAGATAACTGAGTTTAAAATGTTTTACTCATAACTATTCGTAAATACAACAGGAACAAGCTTTATGGTACGGGTTTTTTTATACCACAAGATATATACCGTTACATAACTGAGTAACTAACCTCTGCCTTAGGGAACACAGTTTCCCCTCCTTTTTTGACATCTGTAAGATACATTAGGACAGTGGCTATCCGATGTCCACCACGAACTACATTAACCTTATCCGTGAAATAGTCGTAATGAGGGTCATATTTCTGTCCAGGTTCGTACCGCAATACTTGTATGTCTTCTCCGTTTTCTATATACACAAACATAAATCAAATCTTGCAAAAAAAAAGGTAATAAATACATATTTATCGATACCGACGTATCACACATAAATGCCAAAATATCCCCATAAATATTTGAAGTCACATAATATGGTGATAATTAAAAAAAACAACGGGTTTCAGAAATGAAACGGCATTGTTAGTTCCAGAATATGACTACAGTTGCGAGATTTAGCGAATATTGTTTTTTTCTTTCATATTTTCCGCTAGTGGCAAATCTATAATAACAAGATATCTAAGAGGTTAAAGGACTAAACACCATGTACAGTTAAACCTCCATAAATTAATACAAGTCGGGACTAGGGAAATTCTATTAATTTAGCGAATTATTAAGTTATCGAATTAATAATTTAACACGTTTTCACTTTGTCGGGACCGAGAGAAGCTATTATTTAATCGAGGTTATTATTTTTCGAGTTCCACTGCATAAGAATTAAGATCACATCATAAATAGATTCACACTTCATAGTACTACAAATATCAACGAACTTGGATATTATCATCAACTGCCGATGACT